AGTATAGAGAACAATAAGATTTCTCAGAGGTATTATTCTAAAAAAACAAAAAATGTGTCCCCAAGATCCCTGTACATAGTATTCTCTAAGAGGAGAGACACAGATTTATCAGATGGGCAAAGGCTACTGTGAGAAGACAGTCCCAAAGAAAGCAGATGCTGAGCAACAAGGCGAAAACCAACACCTTGAATTGCACCTGGAATCAACTGGTAACTACTGCAGCTATCAAAGTAATGGTATTACATGGGCAAACTGATCAGTATCCATAACTACATAAGCCATTGCATTCTGGACTCACTGCAGGTCCTCATGCTGTTCAAGGGCAGTTCCATGTAGAGGGTGCTGCCACAGTCCAGATCAAGTCATGAATGATTGTGAGCAGGGCTTCCTGATTCAGGAAAGGCTGTAACTGGTGTACAAGATGAAGCTGTGTAAATGCTCTTCTAAGCACAACTGCCAACTACTCCTTGAGCAGGAGCTATGAGGGAACTCCAGATTATGGAGCCGTTCTGCATGGGGAAGAGTGACCCTATCTAGGACAAAGATGGAATATCACTAGAATTAGAAAGCTTCCAAACTCAGCCCTCTATGCTTAAACCTGAGCCTGTTTGTCCCCATGCAGACCCTAACAGCTTCCAGTCATCAGGACAGAACCTCATCTGCATCTTCTGTTGTGCCTGGGGTCAAGATGTATATGACAGAGGTATTACCAAGTATGAGGGGGTTCTACTGAAAAGGACACCCCTTTCCCTCTATGCTTTTTGCTGCATCTCGCCTACTCTGCTGTAACTCTGCTTCTTCCCCTTTTTTGGAACCATTGCCTTTGGTTGCCAAACACCAGTTAGCATGCTTTGTAAAAATGCTATACCAGTCAAAGCTGTAGTGGCTACATATCATTTTTATGGAAAGAACTTAAGGTATGAGTAACAGAGAGGGGGATTACTCAAATACTGTCTTCAGAGCATGAGGCAAATGAGGACTCTGTGATAATAAGTGAGGGTGCTTATTTGTATTTTGTTCCTTTCGTAGGCTAGGTATTGAAAAGACAATTTCTAATAAGTTCAATTGTCTATCATTGACATTTAGAGAAATGACATGCAGTTGCCACAAAGGTGACTAGGTGCCTGGTATGGTGCATCCCATTGATTCCTGCCTCAGAAATAGTTTTGAAATACTCCAAGATTGCAGGGCTCCTGATTATGTCCTAAAGTATGCCCATGAATATTTGGACAGAAATCTGTTTATGTTTAACTGGGCTTACTCTGAGAATACCCAAAAGTAAACTTGTCTAGAACTATAGTGTTGATTACACAAGAACTCTAGAATTGAAGTATTGTTTTTTAAAAGTATTAGAATAAAAGAAAGGGGAAATATAACTGACTTCTTAAGTGAAATCTACAATTTTAGTGGAAAAAGGATTAAAAATCCCCCATATTTATTTTCACTATAGTAATGCCTCTAAGCTGCTTCTGAAAGCAGGACATTCTTACATTAGATGACTATATAAGGATACATATTAAGAAGTATTACTTGAACTGAAGCTGTAAAATCCAAATAGGTTGCAAAAGCTAACACTGTGTTGGTTCATATTATTCAAGCCCTTTTTAAAATGTGCATTTGCTCAGGAACTCACCCATAAAGTGGGAGTAGTTGTGGTAATATGTTAACATTGACAAAAAACATGTTGTAACCAAGAACTGAAGAAATGAGGACCCTCAAATAATCCATCAATTTACAGAACTCTCAGAATCCTGAACATTCCATTTTCAACAAACCTTTTTAACATCAAATGTTAATATAGTTAATTTGTTATCCTTATTTTAATACAGTGCTATCCCTACACATGGGACTTATCCTGAAGAGGTTACATTTACATTGAAAATCCAACACAAGGGCAATAACAGAGGAAGGAGAGATAGAAATGACATTAATAGGGAAACTATTAGCCATTTTTTCAGTTGCACAGGCTTAGGGAATATCTGCACTGCCAAGTTTTCCCATCATTTCCCCAACAATTTCTACTTGCCCCACCCCACCCAGTGTGGGTTGAAAGTAGTGTTTTCCAGTTTCAACCAGTTCAAATGTTGCTGTCTAGTTTGCCTGCTGTGTGTGTGTTTGTTTGTTTGTTTGTTTGTTTGTTTGTTTATTTATTTATTTATTTATTTATAGGATTTACATGGCTGCCTCTCTCATACAATGACTCTAGGTGGCTCATGACTTCCATTAAAACATAGCTAAAAACAAAAATACCCTTCATGCCAGACCAAACAGCCTCCCAGCTCAACCCCGCTTCTAGCCCAATGCTTGAGGGAAGAATCCTGTCTTCATGGCCCTTTCGGAAGGCTAAAAGGGTAGGTATCCCTCATATCTGAGGTGGGAGACTGTTCCAAAGGGCTGGGGTGCCACCGAGAAGGCACATCTCCAAGGTCCCATCAGGTGGCAACATTTAAGGGAGGGGACCTGGAGCGCGCCCACCCTATCTAGCCTAGTAAGACAGGCAGATACCCTCAGGGACAGGCAGTCCTGCAAGTAACCTGGCCCTGTGCCATGTAGGTGATAACTAGCACCTTGAATTGCACCCGGAAAGCAACTGGGAGCCAGTGCAGCTTACACAGCAGTGGTGTTACTCGGGTGAACTGCAGGGCACCCAAAATTGCACGTGCCACTGCATTCTGAACTAGATGCAACTTCTGAATGGTCTTCAAGGGCAGCCTACAGCGCATTGCAGTAATCCAAATGGGAGGCGACTAAGGCATGAGTGACTGTGAGCAAGGGCTCCCAGTCTAGGAATTTTTTGCATCAGGGTAAGTTAACCCCTGAAGCAAAATTTGGTTGGCTATTGGGCTAAGCTAGAAAGGCCCATCAAATGATTTTTCCAGCTTTTCCTTGATAAGATCTGCTGCAGCTTTTGTTACAGGTCTTCTCAATAGTATAGTGGTTATAACACTTATCTGGCATATAAAACATATTTGTGACAAAGAGGGCCTTTGCACATTTTCATCTTGTGCACTAATTGTAACCTTTCCTGGAACAGGAGGCTTTACTCACTTCCACTCACACCTTAATCACCTCTTAACTGAACACGGGACTGCTCTTGAAGAGTATTTGGAAGCTATGGCTGGACCAGAATGTGATGGCTCAGGTAGTTATGGCTGCCCTTCCAGGTGCCAACATATCACCTCTACTTCAATAACTATGCTGGTTGCCAGTTGGCTTCAAGGTGCTGGCGGTCATCTTTAAAGCCCTTCATGTTTCAGGATCTGGATATTTGTGGGACTATCTTCTCCCAGTGACATCTGCCCACCCATAAAATCTAGTAGGGCTGACTCCTCAATTAGAGATTGCCACCAACAGAGATCACAGAAACATCCCTTTTCAGTTACCAACCTCTCATCAGGAATAGCATTCCCCAGATATTTTGAATGGTCCCTTCCCTCCTAGTTTTTAAAAAGTGTATGAAAGTTATTTCATCAAGCCTTTGGGGCAGGGCTTCTGGGAATTAGTTTTATGTTTGGAAAGTTATTTCCTGGTTCTTCTATGGTTTTTTTACAATACATGTTTTTGGTTTTAATCTTGATCATTTATCTATCTGATTTATGTGAGATTTCAGGAGCTGTACATTCATGAT